CTCTTTGTGGGTACTCAAGACAAGCCTCAATGTGGTTCAATCAGTGCAATCAATCGCATGCACAGAGTCCAACACATCATAGCCCTAAGCATCATGGGAGCTATGTGTACCATGGCATCCAACATGCTGGATGCTCATGCAAAGTTGCTCCCCCTCAAACACCAAGCACAGAATTTGTGCTATCAGGCCACCATCCACCTGGCTGCACACCCCCCAACCCATCCTCTACATGGGCCAGTGCACAGAGCAGCCAGGAAGTTTGTCAAACACCACAGATCCTCACTCCATCACTTGTTCCATGCCACTGAACTGGATGTTGGGTCAATAGAGACCATCATGCACAGCAGACACTCACCAAGCTCATCAGCCCCTTATAGAATTGCCATTGCCACCTCAAGAGATCAGGCTATCCAAGACCATGACAGAGTTAATGAAGAAATCAAAATCTACTGTGACAGATCTGGGATTAACAACAATGTAGGAGCAGTGTTAAGAACCATGCTCAAGGGAGAGAGAGACTGACTCAGAGGGGCTTGGCCTCAGCTCATACGCTGTGCCCCTTACCCAAGTATGTGCCCTTCATTTTAGATGAAGTCTGATGATGGTCTGATGAAGTCTGAAGGACTTCCAGATGTTATGGCGACTAGGATGGGCGCGACAACAGGTACTCGATAAGAGTTACGCCTGAAGCCAAATTGTGTCCTTACAAATGTAAGGTTCTTAAGACAAGTCAGAGAGAGTGTCTCTGGCTCGAATATCGGTTATCGGACGACTTAGGATTGGAGGTCCTAAGTGAAGGATAGTCAGGTAAGACCTAGTAGATTAAAGTGAAGTTTATCTAGGTACATGACCGGGTTTATATAGACGTAGGTACTTTAGGGCAGGTATGCATGCGTCATCAATCGAGTCAGAGATAAGAGGGTGAGTCATCTAGTGACATCATAGGTGAGTCAGAGATAAGGAAGTGAGTCAGCTAGCGATGGCACGTGGCGGTCGTGCTGTGATACAGATATAGAAAGGCATTAGTCTAATGATGGCACAGCCAGGTGTGGTCATGACGTAATACACAAGTATGAGAAAAAGAGATAGGGGGTAACCATGATTGTAACACCAGAGGCTGGCTACTCTGGTGGAGTGCAGGAGGACTTCTAGAGGAGTACAGGAAATACTCAGAGGAGTTCCCACTGCACAGGAAGTGGAGAGACCCACAGTAATATCTCTATGGGAAACAGGATGGAAGGATAGGAGGTCCAGAGGTCTGGAAGTATGGAGGACAGGAGGACTGAAGGTCCAGAGGTCCAGAGGACAAGATGTCCGGAGGTACACAGGACAGGACATGGAGGTATGGAGGACAGGACATCTGAAGGTATGGAGGGTGAAACATCCAAAGGACAGGATAGGGGTGTACGGATCAGGCTAGTAGTAAAGATCCAGAGGTCTAGAGCTCAGGGGTAATTCCATAGCAGAGCTAATCCTGCTGAGGTGTGGAGCACATGGCAGAAGGGGATCTGGGAATGAGTTGGATGTAGGGTCCAGAAATAGGCCTGGAAGGCGTGGGAATATTATGGGATCTAGGTCTGGTGTATGGGATATGACAAGCAGCCACAGTGTTATATTGAGCTGATTGACCCCAGCCAGAGACTCTGAGATACATACATAGCCTTACTCCTTTGCTTACTGATCCTCTCAGAGAGCCTCTAGTATATAACCCCTGTACAACTACAGTAGAGTCCTCAGTCTGAATATCATCTTAGATCCTGTTCTACTTGCCAATCTTCTTCTGGACTTCAGTCCATCTGAGTTTGTCCTTTTCCATAAGGCCTAGGGATGGATTCCCTAGGCCGGGATTCTGGACCTTCAGATTCGACCCCTATGTCTCTGTCCCAAGTCTAGGGATTGCTTCCCTAGGCTGGAGTCTTGCCTTTCCGGCACTTACCCTCTTTCCGGACTTAGGTCCACTTCCTGTCCCTCCAACTCTACCTTAGGGTAGTCTACCCCTGTTTGCTTCTACATTGGACTTCATCCAATGTAGCCCCTATTCCTTCCAGACCTCCGGACCCCCTGTCTTCTGTACCTCCAGGCATCCTGTCCTTCGGATGTTCCGCCCTCCGTACCTTCAGATGTTCTGCCCTCCGTACCTTCGGATGTTCCGCCCTCCATACCTCCAGACCTCCTATCCTTCCATCCTGTCTTCCTGTAGAAGTATTACCTTGCAGTGGGAACTCTCCTGAGCACTTCCTGCATTCCTCCGGAACTCTCCCATGCTCCTCTGGAAGTCCTCCCACACTCTCCACCAGAGTAGCCAGTCTCCGGAAGTCCTCCGGACTTCGTCAGACCATCATCAGACTTCCTCTGAAATGAAGGGCACATACTCAGGTAAGGGGCACAGCATATGAGCTGAGGCCAAGCCCCTCTGAGTCAGTCTCTCTCTCCCTTGAGCATGGTTCTTAACACCTTCAGACTTTTGACCCTTTGTGTAGTACTGATTATTGAACTTGACTAGACAGCAGATCCCTTGGGTCAAACATTCTTGCTTGCAAGTGTAGCAGCTAGGCAGGACTAGTAGACATATATTGGCTAGATAGTTGTTAGAATACCTAGCCAATATATGTCTACTAGTCCTGCCTAGCTGCTACACTTGCAAGCAAGAATGTTTGACCCAAGGGATCTGCTGTCTAGTCAAGTTCAATAATCAGTACTACACAAAGGGTCAAAAGTCCGAAGGTCAGAGATCAAGTCTGAAGGTATGGGGTGAAGTCTGATGTGCAGGAAATTGGGTCTGCAGGTGCAGAGATGTGGAGATGGTGGGAGAGTAGGGGAAAGGAAGGGAAAGTGTCAGGACTAGCTTGGAGATGTTAAGGAATGTTGAGTGAATGAGTGACAATAGTGTTAAATCAAGGAGAGTGGGTAAACAGGTATATTGCAAGGGTAACTCTAAGGACAGGTAGCAGTGGGGTGACCAGTATCGGGGATTTCTCTCTCCTAATAAATGGTGATTGTAATACTGGTCACCCAACCCTATATAACTAACTATGTGAAAGTCCAGAGTCCATAGGTGAAAGTAGTAGCAAAAATGTGGGTCTGATAATATGTAGGTAAAAGGCCATGAGGTACTGCTGCCAGTGGGAATCCATGTAATAATGCTGTCTACTCAATCAGTAATGGGAAATAACTGACTATGCACCAGTGGGGTTAAGCAGGACTGGACTGGACATGGTAGGACAAGTGTGTGGGATCTCCAAGTGGGTCTGATGCATCAGAGATGCGGAGATGGTGGGAAAGTGTCAGAGATGGGTAGGAGATGTGTGGACTGGATGAGGATTGCAGAATAGGGTTCTAACAGGCCAGCCTGAACATGATTGTCACATTGGGATCCATTCTGAGAGGTGACTGTCAAATTTGAGCTGTGTGCATCAACCTACCAATAATCATTCAGTAAAACCTACAAGGGACTCAAGCAAATGCCATGATCTCATGTTGTGTATAAGCTGGTCAGTAACTGCATTCAGGAATGCACCCTCAATATCCAGAAACAAAGCTGAAACTACTTTCTTTTGCCGCCATATGTCTTTGATTATTGCCTTGAGGAGATGTAGGGAGTTGGTTGTGGATCTTCCAGGAAATCCACCGAAGTGGGTACTGGGGAGCAGGTTGTGGTGCTCTAGAAGATAGGTCAGCTGATCAGTGACCACTGCCATTAAGAGCTTGCAGGTAGTATTCAACAGAGCAATTGGACAATATGCTTTCGTGCAGTGTAGTCAGGCTTGCTGGGTTTACATAGGACGACCATCATGAAATCATGCCATGGGAGGTAATAGGTCTCAAGGGTGAACATGGCTCTGAACAGGTGTAACAAGTAATGTTTGAGTAAGTCAGTGCAGCAGATGAAGACAATGTTACAGATCCCATCTGGACTGGGAGACTTATAAGGACTGAGATTGGTGATACTTCTAGTCAGTTGGGACTCTGTGATGGGTGCAGGTGTTGGAACCAGATCTGGGTATATTGTGTCATGTGGGACAGAGGATGTGGCTGGGGGTGGCGGAAAGAATGCCTGTGCCAAGGCCACACTCTTCTCTTCATTGGTATCAGCTGTGGAGTTATCAGGGCATCATAGAGTTGGGATCCTTGAAAGGCCCCTGTCACCCACTGCTGCTGTGAGATATTTGTTAGCCATCCATATCTCATTACCCTCAATCTCCTCAAGCCAATTGACCCAATGGTCCTTCTTGACATGTTTGATCACCTCCAAATACTGGTTTCTCTTGATGCAATGTTCCTTGTGGCTGTAATGATCAGCATCAAATCTTGATTTATAAGATAGGTGACTTAGTTTTGCAACTTCATGACATAGAATGGTCAAATCTTTGGTCCACCAACACTTGGAGTGAGGACTCAGTTTTGGCTTTGGGACACATTGCATTATTGTGTTCTGAATTGAGGTTGTCAGGGTATGTGCTGCCTGTTGGAACTCATTGTCAGTGACAAGCATTTGGGGCAGGAGGAAGCTTATCCAGTTCAATTGCTAAATGTTCATTGAATTTGTCCCAATCTGTCTCCCAGCAGTTGTGCTTTTCCTCAATGGTGGCATGGGGGACTTCTAGATCTAAAATACTGAGAATGGGGATGTGGTCAGTGGTGGGCCCTCACAACACTGGGTTAGTATAGCAACTGATGAAAGATTCACTGGTATGGTCAGTACAAAAGACATTATCAGGGCACATCAAATTCTTTAAGCTAGTTGACTGCAAAGTTGGTAAGCCCTTTGGTAGTGCCATCACCATACCATAGTCCACTAGTAGATCCAGGAGAGGCTGAGCTGCATTGAGGTATCTGTTAGTGAAGAGTTGAGTGTTGCAATCCTCATCTCATAAGGGGTGGTGTCTATTGAAGTCACCCATCCAGATCATATGGTCATTGGTGGATGGGCATAGATTCACTATTTCATGTTCTAGGAAAGTGGCTAGGGTATCATGTGTTAGCATTAGTAGACAATCATTGTAAATATTAAATAAGGTGCATCGCCTGAAGGGGCCTCTGAATTGAATCACCACTACATCTGGAGACAGAAATGTGATTTGTTGCCAGGAGTTTGTGTTGAAGGCTTTGGATACCAGGGTGACAGTGTGTGAGGTGAGGTTGGGTGCAGAGAAGCGTGTTGTCACATATATGGCATAAAAATATGGTGAGGAGATGGTGTTTTTCAATATGTTGATGTGTGGTTCTTGAAGGGCTACTACAGTGACTTGCCAAACCATTACAATGTTTGGTACTTTTGTAGTGTACATGATATAGTGCCTGAGTGCGTGGGAATTACGCTTATGTTTAGTAGAGGCGTGTGAACTATCAACCCCTGGCTGCAATTCGGACCTTGGGTCATGTGATTTAGCCCAAGGGATGTGAAGATATGCCTATTTTAAGACAGAGATACCATTATAACAGTTTTGCAACTGTTGATAATAAGTAGGGTATTTGAGAAATATTAGTACTTGGTATAACCTCCTTTGGTTTTAAGTCTGCCTCGATTTCTGACATGCCTCAGCTGGTATCTTGTTCTATTCCTCCTTAATCCTTCTTCACAACTCCTCCATTCCCTTAGGGGGATGCTCATCCTCTCCAAGCCTCCTTTTGACATGACCACAGAGATGTTCTAATGGGTTAAGGTTAGGAGATTGTGTAGGCCATACCATTAGTCCTAAATTCCTGCTTATCTAGCTACTCCTTGACCTTTTTGCAGGTATGCTTAGGGTCATTGTCTTGCTGAAAGATGACATCAGAAAGATTAAAATCATAAAACTCCAGGGAATTCTGAAGTTCATCCTTTAAAATTTAAAAGTAAAGATCCCCATCCATTCTACCATCAATCTTAGTAGCATAGCCAACTCCTTCCCAGGTCATACAGCCCCACATCATCACAACCTCCACCAAACTTGACAGTTCCTTATACTAATCTATCACTAAACCCCTCTTCTTACTTTTTCCAAGCCCATTTGTGACCATCTGACCCTAGGCAATTAATTTTGCCTTCATCAGAACATATGACCAATTTCCAGTCCTCCAAAGTCCAAGTGTGCTTTGCGATGTTTGGCAGAAAATAGAGGGTGTTTGAACTTGACTACAGCCTTCATCCCAGCTTTTTTCAGGTAGTAGCAAGTGGTACTTGGATGAAGAGGCTGGTTGGTAATGTTTGAAAGAGCTTTGGTCATTTGGACAGCAGTTTCTGCCTTCTGAGTAGAGATAAGATGGATAGCATGACAAATGTTGACAGAAGAAAGCTTAGGTGGATGACCACCAGTGGACTTTTGCAGGTATGAACACTCTTTGGAATGAAGCCTGGAGATAGTAGCAGTGCTAACACCAGTTGTGGAGGCAATAGAGTGAATAGAATGACCAGCATCAAGCTGGGAGAGGATGGTATTCTTATTAGTAGTAGAGAGAGATCTCATGATGGTAATGGTTGAGAATAAAGAAGCATGGAAGCAATTTCAAATGCAGACATGATGTTTTTATGCATATCTCTATTTGTATAAGAAAATAACAGTAACTATCCTTTGATTTGATTGAGATTCTACCATCTATATCAACAGTTGCAAAACCATTACAATGGTATCTCTGTTTTAAAATGGACATATCTTCACATGACCCAGGGTCCAAATTGTAGCCAGGGGTTGGTGGTTCACATGCCTTCACCAACACTAAGTGTAATTCCCACACAATCAAGCACTATATCATGTACACTACAAAAGTACCAAACATTGTAATGGTTTTGCAAGTCACTGTATAAGGTTTGGGTTCCAGAAGTGAGATATAAATGGTATTCAAAGCAAGATCTTAAACACTCTGAAATGATTCAGAACCACTCTGAAAGCTGTTTTGAAAAGGCTCTGAGAACCGCTTGAAAAGCTTAATTTTAAACTCCACTTAAAATACTTGGTGGTTCAAACACTTCAAATTCTCTAAGTTCAAATGTAGGGTTAGGGTTAGAAGGGTGCACATACAAAAAAAGCATGTATTTTGAGCTAGCAAACAGTGGTAAAATGTAGATAAATGTGCAATCCCTCCAAAGTTCACCTTGACTGTGCCCAATGCCATCAACCTCTAGTAAAAATGAATGTTGAAGCTCATCTCAATCAGTACACCTTGCAAGAGTTCAAATGTCACAAAGGAAGTCGCAGTGTTCCCCCAATGAATGATGGTGTCTTAATAACCGAGGGTCTTATATAAATGTGTGTAAAATGTAATGACACCACAATTACACTAGGATAAGACTTCTTGCCAGTCCTCGATTAACACAGTCTACGACTTTTCTTCTTTTGTGGTAGATAACATGTGAGTTCTTGGGAGGCTTGCTAAACCAATCTATGTGATTAACTTAGCCAGAGCTTTTGTGTTATATCCCAACTTATAAACTTGTCTAGGATAAACCATCTAGACACTGGAATGTGGTTCCTCATTAAGATAATTCTCTGTAGAGACTATGGTCTCAAATACGAATATGTTGACCAAAGACTGGTTGGTCAAATAGGCACAAAGTGGTGAGAAACTGGTCTCACAAATGAACAGATTGACCAAAGCTCATGTTGGTCAATATCAGAAACTAGGTGAGAAGCTGGTCTCACAAATGAACAGATTGACCAAAGCTCATGTTGGTCAATATCAGAAAACTAGGTGAGAAGCTGGTCTCACAAATGAACAGATTGACCAAAGCTCATGTTGGTCAATATCAGAAAACTAGGTGAGAAGCTGGTCTCACAAATAAACTAAGTTTCTATTGTAAGAAACTTATGTAATCTCAAGGGAATGTCTTTTCCCTGCACTTGGTACTTCAAAGGGGCTTTCTTTGTAAGCAACAATCTTCACAGTGAGTAGCTCAAACTTAGATTCAAATGATTGCAAGTGGGAGATCCTATTTTTTTGGGGGAGAATGGGCCCTCCTTATATACATATTGTGTGGGAATATTATGTAAGTAAAAAAGCGGAGCAATGACATCAGAAGTGGAGCAGAATATTCCAGAAAGTGGAGCAGAACATTCCAGAATATTCCATAGGTGGAGTAATGACATCAGAGGTGAGTCATTGTGGAGCAGAACATTCCAGAACAAATGACATCATCATGACATCATCATGACATCATAACTTTCAACAGAATACTTGCAGGAGTATCTGTGGAGCCATATGACATCATTATGACATCATACCCTGTAGGTACAATTTTGTGAAGTATCTGATGAGTCAGAGCATCCCAATAGAAAAATAAATCAAGGAAATACTAGAGAAAACAACTCAGAAATAATAATACAATAACAAGACACAAAACACAGGCTTTTTAGATAGGTTTTTGTTAGGCTTTGAACTTTTCTCTATGGTTTTCTCTAGCCAAAGTGAATAAGCCAAAGGCAAGGCAATACCTTAACCTTCCTGCTTCACAATATCAACTAGGTCATTATGTGATTCCCATCTCACAAATGACTTTTCTTCAAGATATAATAAATTCATGAATCACAGAGGGGAAACTGAACTATATGACCAAGGTTTGAAACCAAGGTATGGGTTGACTAGCCTGATGCCTAAGCTAACAGACTTTGTCTTTTAGGGGGGCTACCTAGTAGTCATGTCCATGCATGATTCCCAAATCATGCAGGACAGCATGTGTGCTGTTGTCCTCATAGAAGATGATGCAATGGATGATGGTGGTTTTGGTAAGCGGATGGATTCACAGCCCATTGCACGATCAGTGTGATTTTTGAAAGTACCGTGAGACAAGCAACTATGAGTAGGGGTGGTGAGGGGGAGGAGAGTGGGCATTTGTTAGAGAGGGACAGCTGAATTGTATCTACTTCTTCACACTCTACTTCCACCTGATCCTCCTGCATGGTGTCCAGCTGCTGCTTGTGTCCATCATAATCAAGCTCCTCACCCATGGTGAAGTCATCATCAATGACAGGGTCTGTGATGTCATTGGGTAGGTTATCTTCGATGCTGCATGAAGGGTTGGCAGCACTGTTGACACACTCATCTTCAAGATCATGAGTGCTGGGAGCATTGTCAACAACAACCATTGAATCCCCAATGCGACCATCAGGCTCAGGAGGGGGGGGGGATTTCTTTTCCTTTTCCTTTACTCATTGGTTGGACAAGGGCCTGAAGGTCCCCTGCGCGGTCTGTACCAGGAGCAGACAAGAAGGTTTTGGCAGCATATGTATCCCTTTAGATTTCATCAAGATCCTCATACCATGGGAAGTCATTTAAAACTTGTGCTACAACTAATTTAGTTTCACTGAATTGTTATTTTAAAAAAAAACACCTAGCAGATTAACTGCAGTGCCAGGATCCTCTGGATTGATTCCAGCCCCTGTCTGCTTGAAGTGTGCACAATTGGTCTTATATTTCCCCTTGAGACTAAATGTAGTGTTTAGTGTATATATACAAAGGGGGAGGAAGTATATGAGAAACATAGTAAGTGAGACGGTTGCCCATGGCCTGTGTGAACTTTGCCTGATCCTCAGCATACATGGACTTATACATCTCATCCTTCTCAAATATATGTTTGGTGATTACTGCGTGGATCTTGCCCTTGTTACTCCCAGAAGGAGGGCCATCATTATTAGGCTGAGATTTCTTTCCTTCATAAAAAAGGACTCAATGGTCAGCAGGATGATTGCATAGGTATGTTACAAGTGTAGAAGTTCGATTACAGTTTGGTGTTTCCTAGCAGATTTTGCTGATACCAAGAGTATTACCATGAGATGCAGCAGTGCTGGATGAGGGTAGCAGCCACCCAATGTCCCCTTGTACCATGAGTAGCCACACCCCTTCCCCTAGTACCACATGCAGGTTGCATTTGGATAGTTATTGGCAAATTGGTGAGCTTTTGAACTTGGATCTTGAGTCACTCTGAATGTTGTACTCGGGGGCATATAGCAGGTATGGTATACGCATGGACCAACTTCAATTTCAGACTCTGCAGGAAGTCTGCTGACATTCTGTAGAGCGCTGAAAGAATTTGACAGCATTTCAGAACCTTAATATTTTTACTTTGACTACCATTATAGGTAGATCAAATCATCAGAGATCTGGAAAACTAGATAACCAGATTTAGGAGTCTGGAATGATATATGACAATTGTGTACACTAAAAAAGTATCAAATATTGTAATGATTTTGCAAGTCACTGTAGTTTTACCTTGATATACCTTGCCTTAACTGGGCATACCTAGTCCTTTCCTTTCATGACTTAGCCTTACCTCTTCTATTAAGAACTGGGTTGCTCAAGTGGAGAGGGACTGATTCTGAGGAGCTTGGCCTCAGTTTGTGTGTTGTGCCTCTCACCTGAGTATATGTCTTTTATTTCAGATGAAGTCCAAAGGATTTCCAGAGGCTGGCCACTCTGGTAGAGTACAGGAGAATTCTGGAGGAATACAGGAAATGCTTGGAGAAGTTTCTACTATACAGGAAGTAAAGAGAACCCTAGGCAATCGCCTCTAGAGAAAACAGAATGGAGAAGAGATATGGAGGATGGAAAGACAGGAGTTCCAAAGATAGGGAGGATGGGAGGTATGAAGGTATGAAAGATGGAAGGACAGAAAGTCTGAAGGTACAGAGGACAGAGAACAGGAGGACAGGAGATCCAAAGGTCTGGAGATATGGAGGACAGGATGTCTGGAGGTACAGAAGGAATAGAGGCTACATCAGACAAAGTCCAATGTAGAAACAAACAGAGATAGACTACACTTAGGTAGAGTTGGAGAAACAGGAAGTAGACTGAAGTCTAGAGAAAGCATGAGTGCCAAAAAGGCAAGACTCCAGCCTAGGGAATCAATCTCTAGACTTAGAATTGAGACATAGGGGACAAATCTGAAGGTCTAGATTTCTGGCCAAGGAAAGGATTGCCTAGGCCTAATAGAAAGGACAGAATTCAGATGGACTGAAGTCTGGAAGAAGATTGGGCAAGTCTAATTCAAGAGAGCAAGTCTATGATGATATTCAAACTGAGGAAACTACAAGAGTTGTACAGGGATTATATACTAGAAGATATCTGAGAGGATCAGTAAGCAAAGGAGTAAGGCTATGTACAAGCATATGGAAAGTCATTAGTAAGTAAGACAGAACATCAGTAAATGGACTTAGAGATGAAACTAATACAAGGATCAATCAGCAAGACAGAAACAGAGATAACTGAGAGCTGGAAAGGTGGAGATATTAAAATGGGGATAGGCACAGGATATAGACAGAAGGTGGGAATTGGTCCAGAGATCTGGCAGTTGGAGTGAAAACAAGACTGGGATATGAGGTGGATATGGTCTAGAATCCTGGAAGAGATAAAGTCCAGATGTCTTGCTAGAGGGAATGTACATAGGGTGGACAGGATAGGGGTGCATGGTTCAGGCTAGCAGTGAAAATTTGGAGGTCTGGAGCTCAGGGGCAATTCCATAGTGGAGCTGATCCTGCTGAGGTGTGGAGCAGACAGCAAAGAGAGATCTGGGAATGAGTTGGATATGAGGGCAAAACATCTTCCTACCTTTGGGTCTTCTAACCTGTCCTTGGCTGTATACCTTTAGGCTAATAACCTATACCCATACCTATACCCTATCCTTGGGTGTCAGATTAACAGCTTGTATCTGTGCCCATACTGGTGTAGTAACACAACAGTATGTCTGACCTGCTAGTCCAACAGACCAGTCAGAATATAAGTGAGTCTAGTGCTCTGCCTAGCTGCTACTCCTGAAAGCAAGACCATTCAACCCAAGGAGATCACTAACTAGGCTCAGGCTCAAAGGTAGGGAGTGAAAAGTGTACTGCAAAACCAAGGACAGAAAATATGTTCCAGGAGCTATCTGGTGAGTTGAGAAGCTATGACTAGGAAAGCTACAACTAGGGAATGCTACTAAGTAACCCAAGTGAATGGAGAGCAACCAAGAACTGGAAACCAGGTAAAACCAGGTGTCATGAGTTCCAAATACAAATAATTATTCTTTCCGAAACTTGAAGCTCTTTACTTGTCTATCTAAACTCTTTAAGTGCCCAGACACAGTGCCTATCTCAGAAGCACCCATCACAGCATCTATTATAGAATTACCAGAATCATGTGACTCAGAAGAACTCAGGCTTGATGATATTATATCATGTGATACTCCTAGAATGTTCCAGAATCTTACTGTGGCTGCAACTCATGTCATGACATGATAATTATATATAGAATCATACAATACCTTTAATTATTCTGATTGGTTAGTTAGTTCATACTCAGTTTCAATCTCTGTCTCAATATGTGTACATAGGTAGCTTGATGTAGTCAGTAGTTCTTCAGTTCAAACCTCTAGTGTATTAGCTTATTGCTAATAATCCAAGATATACCTGCTATTCTCTCTCTTTGTGGTGATAACCTGAAGTTTGAGTCCTAGTCCTCACCCTAGTATTTATTTATTTGTGAGTTGTGATACTAGGTAATGACTGTGAAGTCCTAGGTAAAGGGTAGATGATTATATATGTTGGAAATCTGTACTTCACTGCATTGTAGAGGCTTGTGCCTCTGTATGCCCATAGAGCCCCATATTGTGATGTATCTGTATATACAGTGGCTCAAAAAAGTGTTCCAATATTTGTGGGTTTTCATGTAATTGTTTCATTGTGAGTCAGGGCATGGGAATATGACTAAGCTATAGGGAGGTGTCAGAGGGCTCTGCTTCTTGGCTTTATCATTGTCCCTTACAGCGTGGGAATCTGACATTATCGTGTGAAGATATGGACATTTTAATTTGGTGACTCATTGGGACACTTTTTTGACTTTGACTTTGAATAATACAATCTCTATAATTCTAGTACTTGGTGGTTCCTTCTCTTGCTCTAATCACTTCTACCACTCTTATAAACACACTATCTATCAATTTCTAGCTTTGCCCATCAGCAATCTTCCCCTGCTGTGCTGTTACTCTCCCCCATAGCTGAAATAGCCCCTATGGAGAATCTTGATATACTGCAAGCAATCTCCTGAGCAATTTCCAGAGTTGTTCAATAGGGTTGATGCCTGAAGACTGTGCTGGCTATGATAGAACAGTGATATGATAGTTTGTAAACCATTTGGTCACCAACTTGGAGTATGCTTGAGATAATGATCTGATTAGAAGATAGTGTCTTCTTCATCACTTTTTGGTTCCTGCATGCTCATAAGCAGACACTCCTCTGAAATTGAGATGTACTGCTCTGCATTTATCCTCCCCTTCACTTCACAGGGGTTCCCTACTCTATTCCACCTCTCACATCCCCATACAATCAAATTTTCTCCTTTAAACTTGAGTGTTTCCTTGACTTCTCTTTGTCCTGGTAGTTTACCTGCATTTTTCATACATATTCCTGGCTATTTGACCCCATCCTATTGATTTTTGTCTCATCTGACCAGATATCCCTATTCCAGTCCTCAGAGTCCAATACTGGTACTTTAGAGCAAAGGCTAGTCTCCTCTCTCTATAGGCTGGAGATATGAGAAGCTTTTCTTCTTGGTTATAGCTTTGATGTTAGCTGCCTCAAGAGCATTCCTAACTATTTGAGCTGAGACAGTGGTGTGAATGATGGAATACATGAATTTGGTAGCTTGAGTAGCATTAGCAGCCTGCCCTGTTAAAATGTGATAAACAACAGATCTTTTACTATATGGTGTGAGCTTAAAAGGATGATGTAATTTGATATTTTTCTTATCTGGAATGGCTGTGTTGATGACCCTAGCAATGGTATCCCTGCTCAGACCAGTTTTAGTAGAAATCTCCCTGGTAGACAGATAAGAGGAGCTGAATAGGAGAATAGGGCCTATTTCAGCTATGGGGGAGAGTAACAGCACAGCAGGGGAAGATTGCTGATGGGCAAAGCTAGAAATTGATAGATAGTGTGTTTATAAGAGTGGTAGAAGTGATTAGAGCAAGAGAAGGAACCACCAAGTACTAGAATTATAGGGGATTGGTATTTATTCAAAGTCAAAGTCAAAAAAGTGTCCCAATGAGTCACCAAATTAAAATGTCCATATCTTCACACGATAATGTCAGATTCCCATGCATCATGTAACATGTGCACTACTCTCCTGCAACACATTCCTGTGTGTGTCCCACATGCTTTCCCATGCTTCATTACCCATCATCCAGGAGCATCCATCCATTGTCCAGCAAATCTTACTGGTACATTTTTGCATTTATCCTTATCATGACCACCCTTGGCAGCACTTAGGTGCTCATCTCACGATCTATCAGGTGGGGTTTCTATGTTGCAGCAAAC